CGTGTCTAAAGGGGGAAATTAACCTCAGAGCTATTGGAAGGAACATGGCAGAAGAGAATATTCATTGGGGGTAGGCTGTTGTATATAATCATGGGAATGGATATGATATATGTTCTGGGTGTGTTAGGTAAGGATAGTCGTATTTGCTTTTTTTTTATTTTAACAAACTCTTTTAAAACGAGTTTCTCAAACTCTTTGATTGGGCCTGATTTGAAGCTAGATGGGTAGCAATTAGAAAGTTTCTTAAAAGAGGTATTGATTATGTGAGGGTTGTCAGAAGTTGCAGAGATAGAATTTTCTGAAGTGGTAAGCGAAGTGTTTGTGTTAGGAGTTCTAGCTGTAAAAAATATTTGTAAAGTTGTTTTCCTAACAAATTTATTTATATCCAAAAAGGCTTGACTGGTTTAAAAGGATTGCTGGTAGCGAATTTCAGACCTTTACTAAGAACAGATGTTTGAGTTAATGCAAGGATTTTTTGAGATAAATTAAAAATACCGTGTTCCCTTTAATTTATATTGATTACGGTCTGTCTAGTTTTTCTCTTTTGTGTTCGTCTCCGACCTCTAAACTTGGACTTCTTTTTCTTGCCCGTGATGGGTAAGGTGCCTGAGCGTGTGCATTTGTGTGTGTTCGAATGTCTAAAATATATTCGTCTTTCTCAACCTCAGAATCTATGGATAATAACCAATATCAGTTGTTGCGGGTGTAATTTCCAGGAGATTTGTTATTTTCTATAGGTACATCTCATTCTTTGAGGTTTGGAGTGGTGGTTTTGGTGTTTCTTCTCTGTATAGGTGAGTGGGAAATACGATTATGATCAATGTGATTTTGATAAGATGATGGTGAATATGTGTTTAGGGTTTGGTTGTAGTGTGTTTGTGAAGATTGGTGGTATCTTCTACGTGGGTTGGTGGATGTATGTCTGTAGTAATGAATCATTGGTTGTCTTGGGTGATTATATCTGGTAGGAGGATTGTAGAAATGGTTTTGAGATTTCTTTGTAGAGTGACTTGGATAGTTTATCTGGGTATAGGGGTTGTGTTTCACTTGATTTTTGTAGTTAGGGTAAATGGCATTATGTGTATCTGTGTCTGAGATGTATTTTTTGTTCAGATGGTACGATCTGACTTGGTTGCTAGAATAGTCTTGTTTGTCTCGGATATATTTTTTAACTTTTAAATGTTTTGTATCTATTTCCACTTTTTCAATTTTATTTTGAATGAGAACAGTCTTGTTTAAAAACTTGTGTTTCAGTAAAAGGCAACATCTTTTCCTAGAGATCATTAATCTCAACATCTAAAAAGGGATAGTTTACTTTTTTTGATAATTAGTGTTTCCATGAGGCCAGACGTGCATTTTTCCAATTTGTTGTTCTAATCTTTCATATATTCCTCATCATCGTGGTCTGAGGTTGGCTGCTTGTACAACCTCAGACCGCTAGGGGTAATCCTTTCGTCTAGATATTTTTTGAGGGTTGCTAATTTCCATTTTAGTTTTTCAGTGGTCAAGGCCTTTTCTAATTTAATAAAAAGTTGTTTTTGGTTATAAAACTTTCTGGTCTTGTGTAGATGGGAATAGATGCCTCAGTATTCAATACATGATTGACGTCAATAGTGTAATTGTTTCTAAATTCAAAGATGGACATAGTGTATTTGTGGCTTGGAAAGCAGCTATCACCAGATGGGTTTTAGAATGGTAAATATAGGTATAATATAATAAAGGATCAGCGCTAACGAAACCACAAAGGAAAATATTGACAAGGCAGCACACCTAAGATAATAGGGTTCCCTCGCAAACACTAAACAGTTATGCAAACAAAGCATAAACAAGAAAAAAGGTAGCGCTAATGAAACAATCTCTGGAAATATATAAAAAAATGTATAATAAAATGGGGTAGGATAAAATTAAATAAAATAAAAAGTCCACAGTAAGCAGTCCAACCAAAAGGAAAAAAAATACCACTTATATGGGAATGGCAGAATCTTGATAGATGCAAGTATCTATATGGGGTTATAGGTCAGGTGCGGCTCGAAGTACAAACATACAAAAGACAAAAGAAAAAGTTCCAATGGTAGAGTATGTCCGGAAGTTAAAGCTGTATAATAAACAGATAGTTCCTACTTACATTTGCCAGAGCTAAGGCCAGCTCTGGTGTGCACAGCGTAGAGCGTATATTTTATTATTAAGCAGTGTGTGTTTATGGATGTATGCATTTCGCAGTATGTGTGTATATTAGGCAGACCTACCTGGAGACCATATGGCATAATTTAGGCCAAAATAGATGATCTAGAAGAATTCTCCAATTCGGCTACAGTCACAGTCCAGATGTTTTTGCTTAAACTTTGCAATTTGGTTTTCAACCCATTGCAACTCTGAGATTGTATTTGGCTTTCATGAGGAGGCGACAAAATTGATCTTTGCCAATGGCGGCAGAAATCCTTGCATCGGCCCTGCATCGGTGAAGGGATTAATGGGAGTATAATTAGACCAATTAATAAAAATTTTAAAAAATAAAAAATTTTCACTTGTTTACATAGCTGTTTTACAGAATAACACTAGCTCATACGTGATAATCAGTGCCTTATATGTAAAGTATTATTCTGCCTTAATCATATTCCTTAATAAATAACAACAGCACAAACAATATGATAAACATTGTCCATGTAGGTCTTCGTTTGTCTTTCCTCTGACTGATATAATGCTAAGGAAATGCTTACATCATCCAGAGGCACAGGACTTTGTCCCCAAGGACAAGTCACAGGATATGAATAGATACATGGCATCACTTGCTCTTCTCTGTGGATATAAATCCTAGCAGGATGCCAGTCGTGATATATGAATCTAATACAGGATCACACCTGCTGTACGGTTATCTCACTGATACCAGCCTAGAATCCCAGTTTAGAGAGGCAAACACAGAGATAAAGGGATGGAATCGGCTCAGAGGAGGTTTATTTTTGTGAAATTCGAAAGTTACATGATTAACAACTACACTCCAGCCTAACCCATTAAGTGGAAAAATAAAGAGAGAGGGCGATGGAGCAAGAGAGAGAGGGGAAAGAACAACAGAGAAAGCAGGAGAAAAATAGAGAACAAGAGCGAGAACAAGAGAGAGAGAGCTTAAAAACAAGAAAGTGAGAGAGACCGTAGTAGACACACACAGCAGAAGAGAGTTACAGCAAGATAGAAATATAGCAAATGGGGGAACGAAAGGGAGAGAAAGAAATACAAGCCAATCTCTGGGCATCCAATTATGAACTAAAACTCCCATCATTCTCAGAAAAAAATATTGTGAGCTATACCTCCCCTAGTTGTCTAAAATATAAAATGGGGCCCTACTCCTCATCTCGCCAACCTATTATTTTGTAGTAGATAGGCAGATGTTGCATATCCCTGAATTTTGAAACAACTGAATCATGAGTTCTGCTTCTTGGCTTTTTTTTTTTTATTTTGCAGATCAATTTAAAGCACTATGCACACAGTGAACTGTAAATCTCCAGAGAATAGGCAGCAGCTATAAAATCAAGGTAACTGGGGAGGAGGTGAACAGCCCGCTCTATCCAGTCATCACACACCTTATCTCTGCTGCTACAGAAACCTCTGTGCTGAGGCTATTGAGATAGAATCCATTTCCTAAATGTATTTTTCACCTTTCTCCTTGTCTATAGAGATTAATGTCTGAAAGAATGTAGCAGTAGAAACAAAAGGCACGCATGTAACAGATTCCCTTTCTTCATTACATTTTATTTATTTATAAAATATTTTACCAGAATACATTGAAATGTCTCTCGTTTTTAAGTATGCCCTGCATCCACGAAACATTGCATTGTTACAATAGGATATATTATTACAAAAAATACGATATACATACTATATATATATATATATATATATATATATATATATATATATACACACACACACATATATATATACACATATATATATATACACACATACATATACACATGCATACATACACACACACACAAACATATATAAATTTAATACAGAGCAGGTGATAAATATATTCAACCATGACAGGTGCATTCAGGGCCACCACCAGAAATTTTGGGGCCCCTAACTCAGCTCAGGGTCTGGGCTCCCTGGGGCCCGCCTCCAAATACCGCCCACAGGGTCCGCCTCCAAACAGGGGCAGATTAAGAGCCCAGTGGGCCTGGTGCTGACAATTATCAGGGGCCTAATTATACAATCTTATCGACCAAAAACACTAAAACAGTCCTACCTCCCAAGCGTCATGTATCTGATGGAGATGGTGCTAGAAGGAAACTCATAGGATGCAGCTCTAAGAGAACACATACTCTATGCTAATCCCTCTCTAATTTATTATTTAATCTTTCAAGTAAATCCATACCCTTATCTTATTATTAGCAGGTAGAAGCTCCTGGCATATAGTCTGGGAAAGAGAAAAGGTGTATGTAGTGAGTGTAGACGAAAGGGGGTGTGCCACAGCGTTAGAGAGACCAAAGTCAGCATTACCTAAACTAATTTCATTTTCATTTCATTTTCAGCCAGTCCAAACAGGTTTTGTTCCCATATATGCCTCTTAAGTTTCCATACTTAAGCAAGAGTATGTGAAGAGTAGTGTGTAAAAAAAAAAAAATATATATATATATATATATATATATTTTAAAGTATTTCTTTTTTTTTTAAATCAATGGGCCTATTCCATGGGCCTATTCCATGGGCATGGGCCTGGAGCTGCAGCTCCATCAGCCCCTATGTTAATCCGGCCCTGCCTCCAAATACCGCCCACAGGAATACACGCACAGACACAAACACACACACTGATACAAAAGGACATACTAACAGACACACATACTGAAACAGACATACACGCATACAGGCATACATAGTGACACACACATACTGAGACATACATACATATACAGACACACAGGCATACAGAATGACAGACAGACATACTAACATACATACAGACACACATGCATGAGGACATAAAGACACATACATACAGACACCGACATACATACACACATACATTTATGCATACAGACATACTGACAGACATACAGACACTGACATCCATACACACATACATTCATAATGACATACATGCATACAGACATCCATTCACACACACACACACAGACATACATATATACATACATTGATACTGGCAAACATACTTACTGACAGACATACAGACATATATACATACATAATAACATACATACTGACAGACATACATACCTAGACATACATACACACACACACAGCTAATTTTCCAACCACCCTCCTGTCTCTTACCTTTTCTTTGCAGGAGGGTGGCTGGGGCTGATGGGAGTAGTCGGCTGGGTCTCCCTCTTCACTGCCGGTGGTCCTCCCGCATGGAGTGAGCTGGGAGGAAGTGACCACTTCCTCCCAGCAGCACTTGCTGCAGCTGCTTTTTTTTTTTTTAAGGGGCCTGGTCACACTACACCACGGCTACAGCGCTGACCAGGCCCCTGAACATATAGGGCCCATTGGGTGACCGTAAGTGCGTGGGCCACCCGATAGGCCCCATCAGCGTGCGGGCCCTGGTGCAACTGCACCGCCGGCAGTTCCGCCGCTACATGTGGGGCCCGGGTGGCCGGGCCCCCCAGGGCTGCTGGGCCCGTGACAACCGTTATGGTTGTCACCCCCTGATGGCCGCATTCTGTGCTGAGGTATATTGCCATAGATCTCTTAAAAGATTTTAGACTGAATGAAGATTTGACTGTGTCCCTGTACTAGTACTGGATCGGAGGTTATAGAATGTGGGACCAGCTGGGGAGAGCATTCTACTCAGGTAGGTTGGGAACTTCCCAGAAATGCTCTTATGCACAAAGCTGGAAAGATGAAGAGTGTGTCTGTATTCCAGCGACTGACAATTTAGCTCTTTTAACATGTCACAGTGGTGGGTAAAGTAATTACATTGTGAGTCTCCATACTCATGACCAGATCAGGGGTACAAATAGTAAAAAAAAAAAAAAGAGAGAGGATTCACAGAGAAATGCGGTCTAATCATTCCAATGGCCCATCGGCTGTCCATACCTTCTATTAACGCGCACAACAGATACGGCGCAACGTTTCTACCAGTAATAAGTCTTTGTCAAACTAAAGTGTCAAACACAGTGAATCACATGTAGTGCAATAAACAGGAAATGAGAAGGGAAATTCAAGCCCTTTACAAAATCACATGATAAGAAATATTTTAACTTATCATACGATACAATTGTTTACAATGTTATTTTTCTTTTCTTATTTAAAAATTGGTATTGCTTTTTATAGCGAAAGACTTATAATACATACATCTACTTTTAACGATCACAAAAATCATTAACATCCATGAGCAAGGCCAGTTATTCACAGTCGGTTGATCCATCTGAACTGAATAAAAATAAAATAAAGAAAACATTAAACACATGAAAAGTCATAATAAATATTCTAGCATTTATTTTTAAAATAAAAATTTTAATTCTTTATTTTGTTGTACTTAACGGTACAAACAGGCTTGTTCTGCCACGACAGCTGGAGCAAGCAATTCAGTAACAATCGTAATCTTGGCATATCAAACAGCACATTTTTATGTTTTAGTAAATACAAGTTAGGAACTTCATGATACATCGTAAGACCTGCGTAGGAACATTGCGTTAGTACGGCTATGGCTGTGACTGAAAAGGTCTTAAACAAATTAACAATTTTAGAAGTCTAGATCTGCAGTGTGCAATTAGACAAATCTATGAGGCTACTCAAGGTGTGCACCTGACAGTGTGAATGAATGAGGCTGTGTGATGTAGGGAAAGGGAGTAGTGCACTGTGCTCTGGAATGATGTGCGTAACACTCCCTCAAGCGCAACCTGGGTTGGTAGGGGTTGCTTCATCTGTAAGAGTAAGTCAAGTGCTGTTAGTCATCTGGTAGCGTCTCCCTACTTGGGTTGAGATGTATGTATGTATAAAATATTTTACCAGGAAAGATACATTGAGATTTCTCTCGTTTTCAAGTATGTCCTGTGTCCACAAAACATTGCATTGATACAATAGGTTACAATAAAATACAAAATCAGTATTAATACACAATAAATACAAAATTTAACATAGAACAGGTAGGAAATATATAATCAATCAAGATGTGAGGGTTGTGGTGTATTGCTGTAGCGTATGCCCTGTCTGTCTCCTAGTGAACATGTATGGGGCGTGTAGTAGGGCTCCGTCCCACCGGAGCAAAGTCAAGTGACAACCCCTTACCTATGGGGGTTACGGGGGGGGGTGAATCTAGTCAGGCAGTAGTTGTTAAACATCGTGAGTTGTTGGTGCTAAACTGCTCCCTTATACTAAGGAAGGCACAATACTTGCTTCTCCATTAATGTATAAAATTAGAAAGAAACGTTATATATCATATGGTGAGATAGAAACTGTTAGGCTGATAACATCAGCGATACTACGTGAGCCATATGTCTCTGTGTGGTGTTTTATTCCGGTCTCCTCTGGAGGTTAACGAGACAGTTCTCTCAGGATCCCATGTGTGAGGTGTGGACCGGGAGGGAGTCTCTTGGGCCCCTGTGTCTTGTGAGAGTCCCCCATTATTTTCATTTCTTGTCGAATATCAGTGATATCTTCCTCTGAGGCCTGGACTCTTTGGGACATGGCCTTTATCTCCGTCTGAGCTAAGTTCATGTCAGCATCGAACATTTGCTTCATCTCCCTTATTAGCTGCCTGACATCCCATTTTGTTGCAGGTGCTAGTTCTTCCCCCTCATCCTAGAGCTGAGGTGGCTGAGGTTGATGGGAGCTTTCCTGTCCCTCTGAAGTCAGGTCGGGGCTATGGGGACTGGATATCATATCTGGCCCAGCCACCATTTTGTGGCTCTGGGGCCTTTGCAATAAAGTCCCTATGTCCTGGGTTTCTTTGGGGACCCCAGCCTGGGATTTGAGGGATTTCCTCACCATGTTGTGGTCGGAGAGCCTGTTCCAGGCATCGCATCAGGATCTCCGCCGGTGAGAGCATGAGATAGGCCTGGGTTTTACATTGGGTTTTCCTGCCCTTCCGAGTGTACAAAAAGAGCATCAGCATATAGCCTGTGATGTCGGGGCAATAAGGCACTCGTGTGTGTATGCCTGGGACCCACTGGAGTCGCGTATTTTACACTTTTTCGCAGGAGCAATGGAGGGTCACATCCATGCAGTTCAGCAGCTAGGCTCCGCCCCTCAATAGTCTAGCTTTTTTTTTTTTTCCAAAAAGCTCTTTTTGTTTAAGTAATTTTATCATGTCTCCCCTCTCCTATGCTCTTGCACATGGTCTATTATTTGGTAGTACAATTGTGACAATCTATGATATGCTTCTAAGAAATGCTTTGGTACCAGTAATTCTGGTTTACCAGTCTGTATAGTGGAGCGATATTTACACAATTTGTCCCTTGTTTTTGCCTGGTCTCCCCTACATATTATTTTCCACATTATATCCCTTTAAAGAGTGCATTATATCCCTCTAAAGAGTGCATTATATCCCTCTAAAGAGTGCACAAACAAGACAGGAGCCAACAATTTAAGAAGGTCCGGTCAGAACCCAGAACTGTTGGGAGGCAAGCATTTACTCAATATAGGTAATACTTAAACTGAATACGTAAGAAAGTATACTATTAATTTAGAGGGATCTCTAAAGCTATGCTCCTAGTAAAGGAATTACTTTGATGGAAGCCAGATGCTAGCCTTTGGGTAAGGTAAGTAAAAACTTTTTTATTTAAAATATATTGTTATCACGTACACACAAGGGAGGCCTATATAACTAGACACTGGGACACTAAAGCATTAGAAATACAGGTTTCTAATTATACATGTGTGCATTTGCTAATATAAGTTTTGATTCAGGAATGAAGACTCGACTGGCAGGTGGGGACATCAGTTTTTCCCCTTCTTTAAAGGGACACTCCACCCAAAGAAGTTCTACCTTAACCCCTGTGGAATATAATAATCTGGGAGGAACTGCCTCCTATGGTCTAATGATAACGACAGAAAAAACAATAACATACAAATACCTTCAAAGCTATATGAAATTCCACCCTCTGGTTGCTACCAGAAAGATGGGCATGTTAGTATCACTTTGGTTTACTGGTGCATTCTCTACGGCATTCAGAGAATTTAGAATCTGGAACATGTAGTCGAGGGGTTTGCGTGTTAGAGAGACAGGACAGAGGTCATGAGATACCTAACAAAACTAGGGAGTTTCTCAGGACATATAGAGTCTGACGCACCTCTGACTCGCACATTCTTTCTACATATTGTTTCCTGAAATATGTTTTGTTTGACAATGATGGTTGTCAGTCAGAACTGGGCTGCAGGGCAGTACTGTGATATCTGAAAGGTTTTGAGATAAGTATAGTTTTTTTCAACAACATGGATCCTGCCTTTTGAGATTGGATGCCTAATGCCATACAGTAGATGTGCTATATTATTTCAGGTTGACACATTTAGTTGATATGATCATATTCTTTGAAGGGAAACAGTGCAGTCCTCCGTTACCTGTAATACAATGTGTTCCAGAGCATTATATTATAGATAGCACAAAGACCTGGTCAGTAGATCCTTAATATCTTAGACTGGTGTACCTGCAATATATAGTGTAATAGCAACTGACTGTCTTACTCCTGCATAGAGGCAGGCAGCATAGTTTTAGATGAACGGTGGTCAGAAGCAAGTGACAATTGTGTGTGGAGTAATAGCTCTGTCTTTTAAAGTGGTTCTGCAAGTATGAGGTGCTTAGGGGTTAACAAAGTGCCCTCTCTGTCTTACGTTATAAAAAGGGATGTTTAAAAAACAAAAAAAAAGGGCACTTTATTTGCACCATTTCAACTGAAACCTGATCTTTCTGTATGCTCTGGATCTGTCAAGCCTGACAAACCAATCTTATAGGGTCTGTGTTGGGTTAATCAATTAGTATCCCCAGAATGAGGGGACCACAAGAGAGATTATAGTGGAGAGGAGTAGAATTAAGATCACAACTGGGAGTCAGATGGACTATTCACACGTGTCTTCCCATCGTTGATGTCAACCATCTCCTCTCATTCAGATATTGTTGGATACATTAAACTGATATATCAAAACATTTGATTCTAATTCTTAAAGGATCACTGCAAATGTTTGGTTATATCACCAATTGTTTTAATAAATAAAGCAATACTAAGTTAGGCATATAAAAACTAAACATACGAACCACTGTTTAATGTCTTACTTTTATTCCGAT